CCGGACGCGCCGGCGCAGGCTGCAGGGGGCGGGCATCCTGCACGGAGTGCGGTGCGGGCAGCGCGCGTGCATCCACGCCTGTCGCTCGGTGGTGCGGGACTCACGCCGCGCCCAAGACAAGGAGTTAATTTCTTTTCACGGGAAGCATCTCCGACGATCCACGCGAGGATCGGGTGCGACACACCGAGGCCGGAGATGCTGGGCAGCACCTGCTCGCACGCTGCCGTGTTCACCTTGCGGATTGTGTGGCTGCTGAAACCCTACAGAGCAAGGATTAATCATGCAACACGCATGTAACCACGGCAGAGATAGCGTCACCTCTTCTCCTCTCTGGCAAGAATTCCCAGTTACCACTTGCTCACTGCTAAAGCTGCCAGCAGAAACAGGCGCTGAGATATAATTACACAGTCCTGGATGCTGTTCGGCTGCCTGGAGCCAGAGCTGTACTGGTTGGGGAGGAAGGTTTGGGAGGAGCGGCCGGTGCAGTAAAAACAAAGGTACACGGGGCAGCGTTTCACAAACCATTTCCACTGGGAGCAGCAAACCAACCAAACCCTCAGGGCAGAGGAAAGGAGAAAGGGTAAGTGTAAGGAGACACTGAGCCGAGGGAGCTGAGGTTGTTTTATCCCTGTGTTTCTTACAAAACGCAGCGAGTGTCGGGGGACAAAGAGGACTGGTCAGAGAGCATCGAGGCGCTGGCACAGGTTGCCCAGAGAAGCTGTGGATGCCCTGTCCCTGGCAGGGCTCAGGGCCAGGCTGGACGGGGCTTTGAGCACCCTGGTCTGGTGGAAGGTGTCCAGGGGGTTGGAATCAGATGGTCTTTAACGTCCCTTCCAACCCAGTCCCTGGGGACAGAGGGCTGGGGTCGCTCTCAGCTCGGCTCACGCAACGTGGGGTCTCTCAAGACCCTGCAGCTCACCGGCTCCCGGTGCCTGCAGAGCAGCTCCCACCTCCCTCTCCCCACTTCTCAGGTTAGCCCTTGCTTTCTCCCCCCTCGCCTCACTCTGTGTGTCCCTCCCAGGAGAGCCAGGCAGCTTTCCAGCCTGCCCAAAAGGCTCCTGCCAGGCTTTAAGTCTCAGTCGAAGTCGCATCTGAACAACACGGAGCAGATAAGTTCCACTGCTTTTCCTCCCCATGAATATTTCATAAGGCTGCTGGGCGCCAAGCCTGTCGGAGGTGGCATTAAATTAACTGCACGGACACACGGATGCTGAGACAACAGTTAATGGCTAAGCTTCATGTTTTTCACCACGGATAGGAAATGCCGTATCTGGCAGAGCAGGTGCCGAAACATCCTCACTTCTTTGCTCGGTCAACAATGCCATGCACTGTACAGGATGGCCTCCAAAATGACCCATGATCGTCATTAATTGCTTAATTAATACTTGTGGTGTGACTGCTCACTTGGCTTTTTTTCTTCCACAGATTAATGCTGGCTGGATTTGTGTCCCCTTTCTCTCTGAGCAACCGCAAGGGTAAGCGCTCCAGGGAATGGGGAACTTAATGCTAATACTTGCAGAAAGTGGCCTTTGATCCCAACATTGTGCTTCCTGTAGCAGCCCAAGCCACGGTCAAAGCAGACAGGAATCCTTTTCCTGGGTGCTCAGCCTAAACCTGAACAAACCGGCTCCATTTACGCCCATTCGTACTCGGTTCTGGTGAGAGGTGTCAGGGCCAGGTCTGCCCGTTGTAGACCTTCGCCCCGCGGCAGGCAAAGCCGCCTTCCTCCGAGCGTATCCCAGAGCAAGGGAGGCTTCAGGACCAGCGTCTCCCGCAAACATCTGTAACAGCGAGTGCTACAGGGATGGCCTGGCAAGCGCGGGGCTGAGACCCCAGCCCTCCTCAACTCCCGAGCAGCTCTGCCCATCACAACTCCTGTGCAGTAACTCCGAGGGCTGCAGTGGAAATCAGAGAGGCTCAATTAGGACAGGCGAGATCAGAACGAGCGCGACATCAGCTGCGGCAGGGGGACGAGCCCCCGAGCACGCCAGAAGGGAGCTCGATGGCTGTCAGCCTGAGGAGCCAAGGAGCTGCAGATTCTCTTACAGGTGGTTTTGCAGAGATGAGAGCCTGCGGCACGCAGCCCGCCGCCTCTCCCACCCTGCTCCTAACACCCACAGGACTCTCCACACCTCCATGGCCCTTGCATAGCCCGCAGGCTCCCCAGGAACATTGCCCCCAGCTCCCCCAAGAGCAACCCTCATGACTCTGCACCCTTCCCACCCCCCCAAGACCCTACACCCTCCTGTATCCCCAGGACCTTGTTCCAAGACCCTGCATCCTCCCATATAGCCCCAGAACCCCCCCAGGACCTGGCTCATGCACCCCCAGGACCCTCTCAGGTCCCTGCCCCAGCACCCTCAAGATCCTGCACCCTCCCATGTAGCCCCAGAACCCTCCCAGACCCTGCAACCTCCCGCGTAGCCCCAGGATCCGGCTCCTGCACCCCCAGGACCCTGCGCTCTCCCATATAGCCTCAGAACCCTCCAGGACCCTGACCCAGCAACCCCAGGACCCTGCGCCCTCCCTTGTAGCCCCAAGACCCACTCCTGCACCCCCAGGACCCTGCCCCAGCACCCCCAGGACCCTGCACCCTCCCATATAGCCCCAGAATCCCCCTAGAACCAGGCTCCTGCGCACCCAAGACCCACTCCTGCACCCCCAGGACCCTGCCCCAGCACCCCCAGGACCCTGCACCCTCCCATATAGCCCCAGAATCCCCCTAGAACCAGGCTCCTGCACACCCAAGACCCTTCGCCCTCCCTTACAGCCCCAGGACCCCGCCCCAGCACCCCCAAGACCCTCCGCCCCCCCCTGTA